CTTGGTATCATCGAAAATTTCTGTGCAGCGTTGCCTTTGCTACCTTTCGCTATCCGCTTTACGTTGTCGTCCGGCATGTCGATGTAAAATATCAGATTATTTGCCGTGATGAGTCCAGCTGACATGAAGGCTGGATTGTGGCTGCCAAAGGATGGTCTTTCTGTAAGTACGAGCATAGCAAGGTCAACGATCCGTTTTCTCTGCGGTACCAATCAGTTTCGAAACACAGTTCAGCATCGTGGTGTCCTTGACGATTCGTTCACCGACCTGCCGATTAATACTTATGTTGCCGAGCACCTGTAAAACCTTAAAAATGTGTCGTTTAAACTGTCGTCCTGAAGAGCTCGTTGTTTCACTACCATGATCAGAAACTCATGGTTCTTTGCACTGTTCTTGGAAAGTTCCTTGGCGCTGAACTTGCCTAGAAACTGCTTCCCGTTCTATAAAAGTTTTCTTCCATTTTTTCAGTAGCATTCGGTGACCAATGAGTTTCACTGAGGTGAACCCTCCTACCTTCGAGTCACCGTCTCCGGTTAACAGCGCCAGGCAGGAGACAAGTCGTGCATAGAAGTTTTTCGATTCGTACACCTGAACTCGGAGCCCGTCGTCCATGATGGTCAGGTTGGCCAGGACGAAAAATGCTTGGCAAAGAAAGTCCTAGGTTTGTATATATGTGTAAGCCGTATTCAGTATGACCGGTCGACACCAAGCATATTACCTGATTTCCATTATCGTCTTCAGTGCGCTTCAACAGAGTCAAAACGATGCTGGTTGCTTCCCCGGCCAGTTGAACGCAAAGCTTGTAGTCGCTGCTGATGTAACTGCAACGGTTTATGTTCCTCACGTCACGACGTACGAGTTCAACATATGCTGACAAACGCTCACCCGAGCAGACGAACGGCTTTCAGGGCAATCTTCGATCCGGACTGCTCGATGAGGACAGCCAACCACCTGACAAGTCTGATCAGGATTTTCCCATGGCAGAGCGGATCTTCAGTGTACTTTAGAATGTTCTTCAATGTTTTCATCAAATTGATATTGAGGGCAACTATAATTTTGCCTTCTGCATCGTTTTTGTTAATCTAAATTTCGAAAAACGATAAAATGAGATTCCATGGCGAAGTAATGGAGGGGTTATTGTTTTAAACTTGCAATTACAATCATCTGCACACCTCAGTACGCATTTTCCGAGGAAGTACATGGCCGTTCTTATCTGGAACTGCTCGTCCATGCAGCAAACGGCTGATTCTGCGAAATCAACAGAAAAGTGAGAAGATCGAAAATATCTATATTCAGGCAACTGCCCGTATGGCTAGAACGGAAGGATTTAGTTAGATCAGAAATCTCTGTCCTATGGATATGGATGAGAAATGTGGGTCTCAAACCGGAAAGCTATTCATGAGTTGAAGACCACGCAATGCAGCATGGAAAGATATATGCTGGGAGTTACCAGACAATATTGGAAGAAGAACAGTGGCTAAGAGCCGAAAACGGTGTCTCTGATATGACTGCACAAGTGAAAAATAAGTCACTGGAACAGAGAGCTGTTAAACTCAGTTCCAAGATGGAGTAAATGGTGCGTATTAAAAACTCGATATCGACGACGGAGTGAACTGAAGAAGATACCTTCCAGGTGGTTAGGAATCGCGGAAACTAAAAGTTGCTGGCAATGCTTTGTGTAGGACAAACGGTAAACCTAAGAAGGCTGTGTTCTCTTACGAATATAGGTTGAATTCTTTGTCATGCAACGCTTGTTTCATAGTCTGTTTCGAATCTGTTGCCGACATCAGCCAGATAT